ACTAAGCCGGCACCTCATTAATCATTATTATTAATTAAGTAGAAGGTTGCACACTTCCCTGCTTCTCTAGGCCAAGCTGTTCACCTGGCTGGGCCCTGTCCCCACTCTGGTCAGCCTCCAGCCCCAACTCTGGTCGGGATCCAATGGACGAGGGTGAAAATTGGAAAACTGGAAAAATTCACCATTTAAAATCAGGTTTTTCCAGTTTCTGTCAAAATAAACAGGGTAATCTCCTGGGGGCTGGCTGGAGTGGTGGGCAGGGGCCTGGCGGGGGCAGGGCCTGAATGGAATGGGGGTAACAGGCCAGGCTGGAGGGCTGGATGAAGTTCTGGTGACAGGCTGGCGGGAGTGGAGGTGAGGGGGACTGGACTGGGTGGAGAGAGGGGTCTGGTTGGAGAGGTTGGGCAGATTGGGGGTGAGGGTTGTGGCTGGGGGGTGATGGATGGAGTGGGGGGAAGGGTGTGGCTTGTATAGCCGAGCTGGGGGGTATAGACCAGGGAGCTCAGAACATGGTGACCCCTCCCTCCCCCCATGGAGAGGGACTTGGGCACCTGGGGTGGGAGGGCATATACGGGGAGCTCAGAACGGAGCTGTTCCCCCTAAAGAGAGGGACTAGTGTGGCTGGGATGTGAGGCATAGACAGGGGACCTTAGAATGGGACGATCTCCCTTGTCCCATGCTCTTTCTGCTTAGGGTGGTCCCACCTCCCCTTCCACTCAGCTAGACCCAGATTCTTCCCTGGGACCCCGATAAATCACCCCAATGGGCTGACCCATGTGGGAAGAAATCCCACTGGAATTAGGAGCCCTCTATCAAACCCATCAAAGTCCCCTTCACCTGCACCTCTTCCCTGTTCTGTCACCCCAGGGCAGTAGTGACACCTCCTACTCTGTGCAGTAGGTCCCATGTGTAATGAATGGGTTGGTTCCTAGCTGAGCAGGGGTCCACATGAACCTGAGACTGAATAGCTCTGCTCATCGCCAGAGACCAAGAGCTGAATGGATCCTGGAGACTCAGCTCCCTTCTCTGCTTGTGGTCCCCCAGTCCTGACCCACAGCCCCCACCCCTGGCATCTGTCCTCAGCTCTCTCAGGAGATGAGATAATTTTTCTTTTTAATTGCCTGGCTCCAACTTTTCAAGCAGGAGCCAGTGGTAACTTCAGCTCAGCTCTTTAATTGGCTACACCAGTGGCCCAGGTCATCAATACCCAGAGCGAGAAGCGTTCAGACATCAAAACAAGCTAATTCCGCCAAGGGATTTGCAGTCTGGTCTCTGATTTATTAAGTGGCTGTAACGCCCATGAAAGATACTGGGCAGAGAACCCTCAGAGATGGACAGCCTCTGTTAATGCCCAGAGTTGACACAGCACAGGCAGTGGGCAAGGCCGGGTCCAGGCACCAGCGGAGGAAGCACATGCCTGGGGTGGCACATGCTAAGGGGCAGCATTCCATCCATTCTTGGGGCGGCACAGTCCGAGGGTTTTTGTTTTGTTTTTTTGTTTCAGCAGTTCGGGCTTTTTTTTGCTTGGGGCGGTAGAGCCGGCCCTGGCAGTGAGTGTGAGCTCTAGTGGTCAGAGAGCTGGACTGGGAGCCAGGACTCATGGATTCTTTTTCCAGCTCTCAGAGGGCACTTGGGTCTAGTGCAGTTGTTCTCAAACTTTTGTACTGGTGACCCCTTTCACATAGCAAGTCTCTGAATGCGACCCCCCTTACAAATTAAAAAGACTTTTAAATATGTTTAATACTATTATAAATGCAGGAGGCAAAGTGGGGTTTGGAGTGGAGGCTGATAGCTCACAGCTCCCCATGTAATAAACTTATGACCCCTGAGGGGTCCCAACACCCATTTGAGAACCCCTGGTCTGGTGGGTTAGAGCAATGTGGGAAGTAGGTAGTCAGAGCTCCTGGGTTGTATCCATAGCTCTGGTAGGGGACTGGGATCTAGTGGGTTAGACCGGTGGGGTTGGGCATCTGGACACCTGGGTTAGAGTTTAAAGCCAAAATGGACCAGCAAATCACCTATTCTCAACGTCTGTAGATCTCAGGCCACCAACACTGCCTAGACCAAGGTATTACAAACCTCAGGAGGCTAAACTGTGAGGTGTCACTGATGGAGAATGGCAGGGACTGACGTGCACCAGTCTCTAAGGCCCCCACAATGGCAGGGAAATGATTAAAGGAGATACACCCAGCTCGTTCTGGCAACTGACCTGCACCCACATGCAGCAAATGAATAGGGTGACCAGATGTCCTGATTTTATAGGGACAGTCTCGATTCTTGAGGCTCTTTCTTATATAGGCACCTATTACCCCTCACTCCCGTCCCGATTTTTCACACTTGCTATCTGGTCACCCTACAAAGGAAGGTGGAAAAACCCAAGGTTACCGCCAATCTGAGCTGGGGAAAAATACCTGCCTCACCCCACATACGGTGACCAATTTGTAGCCCATGGGACTGGCTTGCCTTCATTATATTCAGCTGTAACACAAGGAACCTACAGGCTTGTATCCTTTAAGACATTAGCTTCCACAAATTAGCAGAAGTATAGTCCAGAATAGTTGGCCTGTGACATTTGGCATGGATAAATGGCCTGACAGTTACCCTTAGATTTTGGGGAACTAGGGATAGCTTATTCAATGGCAGGTAAACAGCAACCACAGGAACATGGACGTGATAACTGTCAATCTGTCTGAGGAAGAGGTGACACATAGGATCAGGAGTTAAATGGCATTAATATTCTAATCTATAGGATCAGTTCACCCTGATATTAAGAGGGCGAGGAAGTTCGATTTGGGCATAGAAGGCTGAATATGAGCATGAATATTCATAATGGCGCTCAGGCCCTATAATAGGGCAACCCACCGTGCAGATGGGGGGGCGCTTTTCCATCAATTAACCCTTCATCTCTATTGTTATCTACCATCAATCTTGGGCATTGAGGAACCTGGACCATCTGCATGCCAGGGACAGGGATGGTCCTTTGTCTCTTACCTCCAGGTCCGCAAAGAAAGGTGGAGGTATGCAAATCTAAGAGCATATGCAAAGAATGATACCACAGATACCCCCAATACTATATTTCTCCTATCTGTTTATGTGGCTCAGAGCTTTTCTGGCTTTATTACTGATTTTAATAAAAATCTCTAAGTCTTTGCTTTGACCTACACCTCGATGTTCCCTACAAGATATTGAATTAGCTGATTTTAGTTCTGTGTAGCCTGATTCTGGAACAAGAACCCTCTGACTCTCAGTTTATTAATCAGATCAACTGGCAACCAGAACAAGTGTTATTGACTATTGAAAGGATCAGGCAACAAGTTAGACCTTGAGCATGTGAGACAGAACTGCCAACCGAGCGCTTGAGAGAGAATGTGGTTTCCACCCTATCCAGTGTCCCTATTCCAGCCGTGGCCATCCCAATGCTTCGGAACAAGAAGACAACAATACAAACAACCCCGCTCCCAAATAGATTTTTTTGGGTGGGTGGGAGTCTCTTTCTCACCCCTGCAGGTGAGCAGCTGAAGCCCCGAAGTTTTTAGAAACATTAGATGTGAATGACCAGAGACCTTCAGGGCAGCCAAACCTTTCCCCCCATCTAACTAAAGAGTGGTAAAGAATTGAATCGAGAGGACTTTGAGTTTGGACAGATCCAAAGACGACATCAGTTGTGGATTAACCCTAAAAGCTCTGCAGAAGGAAAATCTAGATTGAATATAGAAACAGTTGTATTAAAATAGCAATATGATTAAACTCTACAAACAATCCTTATATGTGAAATTAATATAGAGAGTCAATTGATAATCATACTATTTATTGATTATTGAATTGTTTATTTATTATTGAGGTAACCGGTAAGAGCCCCAGTCACAGACCAGGGCCTCATTGTGCTAGGCGCTGCACAAACACAGAAGCAAAAAAGAGTCCCAAACAATTTACATATTATATTTTCCAGATTAGATTAAAAAGGGAGATTAAGAGTTACAGTTTATATTAATGTTGAGACTCGGAATGCAAAATTAATAATTGCGTGCTATGTTAATTCCTAGATTTGATTAAAATGTAAAACTAATAATATTATAATTTTGATTAAAATAAACAAAAAACTACCAAAGATATCAATTCCTATATTTAATTAAAATAAATTAATAACTATATATGCTATCCATGTCTACCTTCAACTTAAATAATACATGAATAATTATATACTAGAATCATAGAAGATTAGGGTTGGAAGAGACCTCAGGAGGTCATCTAGTCCTCTTTTGATTAAAATAATAAATTAAAAATTAGATATTTTATTCATTCCTACATTCAGTGAAAATATTTACTTATGAATATTGATGAGTTAGTTATTAATATTAAGTGCATGCTGTATTGATTTCTATATTCACATCATATGTTAAATTAATATTTACATATCATTTTAATTTTTAGATTTGATTAAAACTTTGAATTAATAAGTAAACATTGTGATGATTTCCAGATTTGTTAAACATGTTACATTAATAAGTATATAGGATATGAATTCCTATTATGTTCAAAATAATAATGATACAGTCTCATTTTTCATTACCACAGTAAATTAGGAATTATATATTACTTTTGTACACATTTACTTAAAATATTAAATTAATAAATACATTTTCCTGATTTGATTAAAATACTAACTTAATAATGATACATTGTATTCCCCAGATGTGGTTAAAATATTAAGCTAACGTATATACATTTCTAGATTTGATTAAAATATTCAGTTAACAATTACATATATTTTTAGATTTGGTTTAAATATGACATTTGTAGTTATATTTTTTTTAACCTCCAGATCCAATTAAAATATTGAGCTCATAATTCTATATCAGACAAATTTCCAGAATCAATTGAATATTGGATTAAGAACAGTATGTTACATAATTTTCAGGTTAAAATCAAATATTAACGTAGTAAATATATATTACATTAATTCATTGATTAGATTGGTAAGATTCAAATGGAGAGAATAGAAATGTTAAATCAATAAAGATATATTTCTGTGTATTTCTAGATTTGATTAAAATAGTCCCACATAAATTCCAGGTCCAGACAAATGCAGAGAAGTATCTGCTCTGATTATAATGAGTGTAAATAACGTCTGAACTTTAAGTTGGGGGGAAATAACTGCAAAGGTAGGATGGAATGAAATGTACCCGGGGAACACACTGGATAGCACTGAGAAACACACACACACACATAGGAACACAAGCATAGATATAGAAACAAAAACACACCTACACAGAGCTATGCACCCTCTGACATTCAGAGATAAACACACACACACAGCAAGAGGCACCTACCCACATGTATATCTGTGTGCACACAAGAGCGAAAGACACACCAGTATACACACAGATTTAAACACATATATTGACTTACACACACAGACAACACACAACTATCTAGATTTATACAAACACACCCATGCATAACTTGACCCACATACATACACAGAGGTAAATACACAACGATGAACGTGTAACCCATTGAGCAGAGTACAACGGAACCAGGCCCAGATCTTCAAAGGTATTTAGGTGTCTTTGAGGATCATCTTGGTCCAAGAGAGATGGGATACTACTGTCAGAGGGTGTCAGTTTTACAATCTGAGAGGGACATTCCAAGGGTGAGAGAGGTTTACAGTCTGAGAGTGACAGTCTGTTGGTGACAGGTTGTGACAATGAAATTGACAATCAGAAGTGACAGGACATTACAGTCTAGGATGAGAGGGCAAGACTATTTGCAGGTGATTACATTTCAATACCTAAAAGAAATAGCCCAAGTCTGAGGAGAATCCCAGCCCCAGACAATAAGCATTTTCGCTCTTTCCCCCACTGATGGATGGGCTAAATTTCCAAGAGGCAGGTGTGAAAGGCGCATTACCAGTTACATCCTCTTCATCTTGTAGGCCCTGCTGGCTCCAGGATGAGGCTCCAGCTCGTTGCTGGGAGAGGCGAAGGTGAAGAAGCTGGTGCCAGACTCGCCCGCAGGTGGGGATGTGGCAAAGAAGGGTTTGAAGTGGAAGTCTCCCTCCCCACACCTGCCCCGGACCGGCGTGGTGTCCACGGGGAACCTGGCAGCATTACCTAGGAAGGGGGAGTTACAGGGTCAGTTAGATGCTGGATTCTCTGAGACAATCTGGGGATTGAATGTAGAATCTCCAAATCTAAGACCATGAGTGACCACGGCTTGATTTAAATGCAGGGGCTAAGTTTGGGATCGTCACAGGAAATGGTGGGATTTGAAGGCCACACTCACTTAAGCCTTAATCCATTAGCCTGGATTCGTAAACCTTTTGATGGTAAGATACCAGCCACTAGAGAGACAAATGCCAATGCTCAAGAGTCCAGCCCCCAAAATTCATGAGATTTGCTTACAAAATCATGAGGTTCTATAAAAAAAAATTCCTTCTGGTTCTGTAGCATTTATTGGTCACAGTTTCCCTCTTTTATGTGCAACCATGAGAAACTTATCCTTTTTTTTAAACACACCAAATACCCAGAGATTCACAGTAAAGTTTGTGGGTTGGCGACACCATATGGCTAGCTAAGGTTGGAGAAGTTACAAGGGATGGTCAAAGCTTTGGGATTCAAAACATGATTAACCCATTTTCTGGAGAAATCTCTCTGTGGGGGAGAAAGGAGCTTAATCTCCATGGCCCATTCAGTCCTTGGCCTCTCTACGGAGGCTGCCAAGGAGGGGGACTGTTAGCGTGAGAGAGGTTTGTAAGGTGGACAACTGTCCCAGCTGAGAACCTATCAACTTGTCTCACACAGGAGTGTCTAATCAAATATTTCATTTGGAAGTTGCTGATATGGCAACTTTTGGAGACTGACTGCTCTGTGTGAAGTCCTCCTCCTCCAAACACATACACACACATATGTGCCTCCTCCTGCCCTATGGCGTGGAGGAAAAGTTCAGTCTTTATAGCCCACTAAAGCCTTGTCCCCTCCAATAACAGTGTCAGGGTAGTGAGTACTTATGCCAGCTTTTGCAACTTCTGTGAGTAGTGGAATGAGAACCCCCCACAGGTCTTACCCAATGGGAAGCCAAAGACAGCAGACTGAGGCATCATGGGAGGCTCGTGGGCAGCCTCCTGATTAGCCATGGCTATGTTGCGCAGGCGGAGGCTGTCATAGAGGCCCAGGAGCTTCTGGTATTGGCAGTTGCGCTCCATGAGCTTCTCAGAGAGCTCGCTGAACTTCTTCTTGTACTCTTCCAGCACCTTCTTCAGAGAGGAGACCTCGCTCTTCATAGGAGTCAATTCCATGTCTTTACTCTGCAGCTGCTGAGTGTACACCTTCTCCATCTGCTTCAGGTGTCCCTCGGCCTTGCTGTAGGTGTATTCCTGGTACAGGTGCTCTTGGTGAACCTGCAAAGTGGAGATTATGGCAGGTGTGACAGGCTTCTTTGACCACTGATTGTCAAAGGAAAGTCAAGTCACTCCATTTGAGATATAGTAGCATGTCTACAGTGCACCAAAGGAAGGATGGTCTGGAGTTAAAACACTGGACTGGAACTTAGGAAATCTGGGTTCAGTTCCCACTGCTACTACAGTGACTTTGGATAAGTTACTTAGGTCAATATTCTCAACAGGGACCACTAATTAAAGGTGGCCAACATAAGACCCCTATAGACTGATTTTCAGATGCGCTGAGCACTCCACACACCAGCTGAGGTTGATAAGAGCTGCGGGGTGCACAGCATCTCTGAAATTCAGGTCATATGGCTCTCATGTAGAGCACTCAAATGTGAGGCACCTAAAAATGAGTGGACACTTATGTTGCTTTAATGTCTGTACCTCAGTCCCCTACATGTGAAATGGAGATAGTAATACTGGCCTACTGCTCATAGGGGTTGAGAATAATTCATGAATGCTTGTGAGGTGCTTTTACACTGTTGTGATGAGAGGAAAGAAAGGAGGAATGTGTAACAAAAGTCATCAGAGATGGAGGGAACCTTCCACAGTGACAGACGAGAAAGAGAGGCATGGCTAATACAGCAATAATGTTTTACATTGACATTTGAATAGAGAAGGAGGGAGGGAGAGGTGCAAATGCCACACTGGTGATTCTGAACCAGAGGGTGAGTGGCAACCTTCTCAGTGGTTCGTAGGCCACACAACAAAATCCAATATTGGGATTTCTTAATCCTATTCCATTCCCTTTGTCTTCTTTCCACATTTTCAGGCCAAAAAATATAACATGGTGGCCTTTTGGAATCACCTAGATGTCAATTCTGCCCTCCACGTATGACATATAGATATCCATAAAGACTGATTTTTGGATCTTTCATTTCTTTAGGAAACAAAATCTCTTCCCAATTATATTTTAAAAGACACGTTTGAAGGTATCTACCTAACTTAGGACATCATCTGAGATGGGTTTACCTGGTATGTCCAGAAGGCCAGTGCGCGGGAGCTGATGTCCAGCACGATCTCTGGCTGCAGTCCAGCCAACACCATGGCCTTGTATTCCTCAGAGGGACTTAGCTCGGTGCGAACAATGTCCATCTTGCCAGAGAGGGCGCTGTTGCAGGCGGGACAGACTGCTGGTGAATGGCTGAATTCCTCACTGCCGTGCTGGTCGCAGAAGATGTGTGAACAAGCTGTGACCCAGGCATAGCCCGAGAGCTTGACACGGCACTTGCGGTAATTGCACAGCAACATGTCCTCGCACGTGGACATTTTAACGGTGCCAACAGCAACAGTCTTGCCTCCAAAACATACACCACCTGGTGAAAGAGAATCTGCCACTCACCACACCAAACCTATAGAGCAAAATAAACATGCAGGCTGGGATTCTCAAAGGGCCTTAAGGGAGTTAGGTGTCCAACTCCCATGGAATTACTAACTCCCTTACGCTGCTTTGAAAATTCCACTCTAAAGACCGAAGTGAAAACACTGACACTTTTATGCATCAAAATAACCAGTTAGATATTTTTCTTCAGAAGACTCTTGCCTTTGTGATGAAAAAATGATCCAATTTTCAAAAGTGGTGGCAACCAAAATCCCCCATTTGGCCACTAAAATGGACACAGTTTCCTCCCAAATAGCCTTTGAACTAACCTAAGTGTCAATCCCATTCCCGTTTTTTTCAGTAATAGCGTGCTGTGACACTTGTATTTTTGTCTGATTTTGTACGCAAGGAGTTTATAAGTGTGGTGAAAATTGAGGATACGCAGGACAAATCAGACTCCTGAAAGGGGTACAGTAATCTGGAAAGGTTGAGAGCCATTGCTGTAGCGTACCAATGCAGGTTTGGCCTGTACTAATACCAAGGTGTTAGAGCAGGGTGGGGCTGCATTAGGACTCCTGGATTCTGTTCCAGGTGTGGGAGAGAAATGGAGTTTAGTGGTTACGAGTTAGGACTCTTGGTTTCTATCCCCTCTTCTGTGACGGCAGCAGGCTCAAGGTGGCTGGGATGCAATGTTTTCCTCCTGTTGAGTGTTTGCCAATAGAGTACGGGCATGAGTCTATATGGTGGATTTTTATATGTGTCTGTTAATGTGAGTCTGGTTGACACTAGTGTCTTTTTTTGGTCCTTAAAGTGGCCTCTTTAGGGCATCCACCCACACTAGCTTGGCATGAGCCAACCGCCAAATTTGGCATAGCATAAACAGCAAACCGGGTGCCTCGCACAGCCTTGATTGGACCCAATGGGGGTTAGTGGGCAAAACCCCTGGTGTTTTATGTGTGTGTGTGTGTGTGTGTGTATGGAGTACACAGGGGAGTTGCCCCATTGGGTTTGATAACCCCACTGAGTCACAAATGGCCCCTCACAAAATGGCAGCTGTACCTTGGCACCGCATGAGGTGAATTTGACACACGCTTATATTTGGGGACAAGACTGACACGGGGCATGGGAAGGAGTTAGTATCACCCCAAATGATATGGGGTTAGTCTCTCATTGAACTGGCTTTTTTAAACCACGCAGCGGTTAAAAGCGGTTGGAGGCGGGAAAACGAGCAACTGCCTCTCGCAGGTAAAGTCTCTGCGCATGCGCCGCTGCTTCAGTGCACTTACCTCTCGCCCAGGAGCATCCCGGCCCCACCCCCATTCTCTCCCCCTCGCACCTGCCAACGGCCGCAGCAGCTCCTCCCTTCAGCCGCCCAAAACGTCTCGCGCCACCCACCTTTCTTTGGTGCCAAAGCGCTGTTTGTGGGAGTACCGGAGGGGGTGGAGGAGTGGGACGTACCCTTGTAGAGAAGGGGGGAAGAGGAGCGGGTGCGCAAAATACATCTAGCTCTTCAGAATTTGCTACAAAATATTTTAACTAGAGGCTGGTATCCCAAAATGCACCAAAAAGTGTCTCAGTTTGCTGTTTAAACAAAATAATCCCCTTCTACGGAAATGGTTTGGTCCAAAAGTTCCTCCCTGGCTTCTGCACAGCCACCATGCGCAGACAGTGACGGGGGGGAGGGGGGGGTATGATATGGCGAAGTGAGCGCTAGCAGCGCATGGCCTTCCCTGCTGACAAGCACAGACAGGCAGCCCCCTGTGCAGAGTGTGCTGCTGAGCTGGTGCCTATGCCCCACGTTAACAGGGTACCTACACACCTGCTCCCACCTCACACATCAACAGGGCACCCACTCACTCGTGATCCACATAAAAATGGCATCCATGGGTTCCCAGTGTAAACAGCACCCACACACCTGCTCCCAACTCCACGTCAACAGGGCACCACATGCCTGCTTCTGCCCCACATGAAAATGGGATCCCAGTGAAAACAGCACATACATGTCCGCTCCCTAACCCACATCAAAATGGCACGCTGAGCCCAAATGCATATCAAAATAGCACTCACACAGAGTACACCCCCCTGAACCCACATCAAAATTGCATCCATGGTCCCCCATGAAAACCTTATCAAAATGGCACCCACCCACACACTGACCTCTCAACCCACATCAAAACAGCACCTATAGGATCCGACTAACAGCCATGTCAACATGTTGCTTTTCTGCATGATATGGGCGATTTGTACTGGTCTCACCTCCCCCATTCCCCAACACAAAAATAACAATGTCATAAAATAACTCCATGTGGATTCAATCAGCCACCCAACCTGATAACTGCAAATCTTACCATCTGGTTTGGAGAGTTCAATACTGTTATATTGAATTATTTTGTTAATTTGGATTTAACTTGGTGGTTTGCACATTTCATTGCTTGTGTAGGCTGAGCTTATTGTGGACATCAGGGACTCTTTGCATTTCTCCATGAGCACCCTGTATGCCACCCTCCCATCTCCCTCTAATTCAGGGGCTCCCTACATCTCACGCCATGCCAGCAGCTGCTCCCACTAGATTCTGTGCACTCCCAGTTCTTCTCCCCTCCTCGCCATGCTGGGGCTGTGTGCGTGCCCCCATTTTTCCCACAGAGAACATGAAAAAATGGGTGTTGTAATCTCGTTACAGTTGGTATGACAATACCGATTTTTTTATGTTCTCTGTGTATATGTATCTTCCTACTGTATTTTCCATTGCATGCATCCGATCAAGTGGGTTTTAGCCCACGAAAGCTTATGCCCAAATACATGTGTTAGTCTCTAAGGTGCCACAAGTACTCCTTGTTCTTTTTACAAATTAGATAAGGGCATTGTTATGGAGAAAAGGGGTTAATGGCTGCCATCAATCAGTTCTTGAGTCTATAGTCAATTGCAGAGTAGCTTGAATCTGCAGTTTTTCTACACAGCTGGCAAGGGCTCCATGTGTCCATCCATCTCTCTCTGCCCCCATTTTCCCTTTCAGTTTTCCAATTTACTCCCAAATCAACAGGTTCTTGGACCTCAGAAACTCAAACGTTCCCTGAAAAATTGGAAAGGAGTGCATAGTGTTCAAAAGTGATCACATTACACATGTACATACAAATACACGGAAATGCTATCAAATTGAGTGAGACTGTCACACATAGTAAAAAGGCAATAATGTTAAAAGAATAAAAAACTGCAACTTCTGCCATAATAAGGAGTTAAAAAAAAAAAATTGGAGAATTACAAAATTTTTAGATTCATCCTGGTTTAAAGTTGATTTTGGGGAAATGCTTGTTTCTTGTGTTCAGCTGAATCCCCACAAGTTAGTTCAAACTCTTGATGACCAAATGGCCTATGTTTTCTGGGATGGCCCTGGTTTTGAGGGTCCAGCTTGGCATCTCTGCTCATGACATTAAGAATTTGTCCTGACTTCCATATAACCCAGGACCGTCTGAACTCAAAACCACACGTCGCTGAATTCAGTTCACACAGCCCTAGCGCTCAGCTCCTTCTCTCTCACTGCCTGCCAGCTCTTCAGCACAAGAGCTGTACTATGTAGAAGGTCTGCAGTGGTGGCTGCCCACTCAGTGGGAAAGGATCTACATCTGTTTATTTGGGGTGGAGAGAAAAAAGGATGATAGAGGATGCCAACACTGGGAGCATGAAATAAGGGTCTGCGCTGGTGTCAGGCGAGCGAGTGTGCACCTATAGGGTGAGGGAGAGGTAGTTTAAATACATTTAGGTTAAGGATTTTCAAATCTATGGCATTTGCCTGTTAAATTCCCATTAATTTTTTAAATGGGAACCAAGTGTCCAAATCCTGTATGCATTTGAAAATCTCAGCCTAACCTAAATGGTGTTGGTAATAGAAAACAGACAGTGGACACGGGAAAGTAAATTCACAGAAGAGTGGAACGTAATTCTGGACCCAGCAGTAAATAGACCAATGTTGATTAACCATCCGGATTATCAATTTTGTACAAGTCCACAGATATTAGGAGCTTTAAAAATATCTGGACAGATATTGTATCTCAGACATGAGGTCAAACCCTAACTCATTTCACAGACAGGGCAACTGAAAAGCCTTCAGATAGCAATGGGTTAGGGATGGAATTTTCAAAAGGAGCCTAAAACAGCATGCCATCTAACTCCCTTAAGTCTCCTGTGAAAATCCCAACCACAGCCACTACTGACCTGGGCTGAATTCAGACCAGTGGATTAGAGTTGAGAAAGCTCCATTTCCCCCTCAGTTCTACCACTGTCCGTTTGTACAAAAAATACCCAACTCTTACACATCCATTCTAGTTTAATTATCCTGTTTTTAGTACAGCCTTTCCTAGACATAACTTCAAAGAGTCCTTGTAATACAGATCAGAGACGGAGCAAATCTTTTAATCTTCAGGCCCCAAATTCTCTCTTACAGTTGACCCTGGTGGAGAGAAAGATACATTTTCCTTGAAGGCTCATCTCAAATCATCCCTGTAAAGATAAGGAATCTCAGTATTAAAGATGCAGAATGCAGCACAGTTGCCTCTTGGAAAACTAGATAGCTTAACAGCACTAACTCCTCCCAGCTGAGGCCAGCACAGCTCCTACTTCTTCAGCTCAGGCAATCTTTCAGCTCACATTGTAAAATTACTACCTGGTTACCATAGCCCACTGCCTAAAGTTTACAGAGAAATATGTACGGAGCAGGTGGTTTTTCAACACCATTTCTTTCCCCAAAAGTCCAGTCCCCTTCTGCCTCTTTGAGTGTATGACCCCGCAAAATTCAGAAGGTGCCAACGGACGGCCAAACCCATCCAAGAGCACTCTGAGTGAAGAAAGGCCAAATTTAATCTGCGAGGACACAAAATCCCACTGCCCATGGCTCATGGCAGCAAGAGGAACGGTCATCGCGGCCACTCTCCCTTAAATGAGCAGCTCTGAAAGCAACAGGATTCCCTAGAGAGATACACCATGAATTTCCCAAAAGAGCAAACCTTTACTAAGCAGTTTCCTTACTAAAATCCTGCAGAAAGGTGTTCCCGTTCATGTGTGCAGAAAGATACGGCTTTCTGAAGGCATCTGCAGCTTCAGGTACTAAAGACAGCCTGACAATGTTTGGAAGATCAGTTCAGAGACTGTTTGTCACTGAATGAGGAATGCATGGTATACGCTATGCCAGACATTTGTTAATTGCTATGTCTGCCATAGTACCTCTTTCTTGTCCCATACCTGTCCCCATGGTGACATTGGCCAGGGGTACTAATATGGGGCCATGCTAAGCAACTGGATGGATACGAACTTCCAGCAGCACTTACATCTGTGATTCCTATAAGGGATCCAGGGTGAGGAGGGAGAAGCAAAACCAGCCAATTTTGTTTTCAGAGTTCCTGTCCCTACAGAAACAAGGAGGAAATATTTCCAGGTCAATGGAGAGAGAAAGGGGAGGGGAAAAAAAGAGCTACCAACTGCATGGAAAACATTCTTTGCATCTATTCCCCTCCTTCATTTGCACAGAAACCAGATCCATGTTTTTGAAGAATTTGCATGGATCTGCTACTTATTCTCCTCACTGTCTGGGACTTAACACATGGTTGCACTGGAGACCATTAGAACATCAGCTTTCCCCCAAATCAGACTTCAGCTGCACGTGTTTGTTTCATGAGTCTGCTCAGGGCATGTGTATAATCAGGGTAGATCAGGTGAAACACGGACTGAACATGCGGTTCATCACAGCAGACCCCTCCTAGTCCTACAAGTGGCAATATGGTTGCTCCTCGCACACCCAAACCACCTCCCAGGACTCTGAAACCTCAAGTGGTTGAGAATTTTAGCTACTTCCTCAC